ACACACACACACACACACGTATTTACACACACACATTATCCCCAACTTGTCCAATTGGAGATGTACAAACTCTGTGACCCAGCCCAGAGTGGAGACGGTCATCAGGCGGGAGTGAGACAACACCAAGCTGAGGCCGAGTGCTCACTGAACAAAGAGGTCAGAGGGCCGACCCATGGACATCTCGTATCTGCGCAGGTGGTTGACCAGAGACTGAACGTAGGTGAAGACGCACTTGGAGTCGGGTTTGTTGCCCATGATCATCATGTCCTCCACTTCCAGCAAAGGCATGCAGTTGGCCCATGTCCTGAGGAACATGAGACATCGAGTATGAGATGGGAGGATGAACAGATGGGAGAGGACCACAGATGGAGGAGGGAGAGGGACACACATTTCAAAACCATCACGTTCATGGCTTTGTCATGATCATCAACCAACGAAAAACACAAATGCACACACACGCGCGCACACATACACACACACCTTTTTAATGTCCACATTTTTTACTATCCTTTTTGTTTGCATGAAACCCCAGAGTGCAGTCTATACATTCTGTTGATAAAAAATGGGAATGAAATGGAAACAAGTGTTTAAATTGACATGAAAAACTATTGAAAAACCTTTTTGTGTTTATTGTTTTTGTCTGTTCCTTAATTAGTTATGTTCAGTCACAGATGTTATCCAAATAAATAGTGAAATTGGAATGGTCTTTAAAAATGTTTTTAGGAATAAACTCCACGGTCACTGTGTATGTCAATGAACCACTTAAAGGACAAAGACCTCACATGTGGTTCCTGCAGAGGGTGACCACAGGGTGGCGTTATCTCCCCATACTTCTGTTACAGTCTACACAAACCAAGAGTACAATGACAGAAACCACTCAAGGTTAAATGTTTAGCATGTCAACAATATAAAATCTGTGTTGTTATTCGAGGAAACAGGTCATTGTGCACTTTAAGGTTAGGATATCTTTAAAAGGCTTTTAGAGCAAAGAGCGTAAACACCTGTAAACTCACACATGATAAAAAGTCAGAGGACAATATTCCTTCCTCTGCTTTGTTTCTTAAGTTGTGTGTTTGTAACACTGTGATACGGCAGATCCTTTTAAAGGGCTGAGCTGCAGATGCTCCTGGCTCTCTGCCTGGCTATGCAGAAATGCACACACACATGCACACAAACATACCATGTTTGGAACTTTAAAGCCCAGTGGCTTCAGATTAACATGAAGATATCAAATATCCAAAAGCATGTCTTCTGAACCACTACGTTAGTCACCAATCCTATCACACACACCCACAGACACACACAGACACCCACACGCCTGTCAGAACCAGAGTGAGGTTCCGCAGCACATTCGTCCCCTCTCTCACCATGGGTTCAGTTTTAGGCCGGGTGCGACTCTAGGATGAGTTTTTGGTTTTAACCAGGCCCTTCGTCACCAGACCTCTGTAGAACTCCTGCAGGTACGTGTACACACATTTCCAATCCGGCTCTCGCATCTTCACCATGTCGTCCACATCCAACAGCTGGGGACAGTCCACTAGCTTCCTGCGCCCACGCCCGGCAGGGTGGAGGAAAAAAAAGGGGGAGGGTGGAGGATGGAGAGAGGAAGGAAAGGAAGACGCAAACAGAGAGACAAGAAGAGGACAGGAGGGATCAAGAAGGGAAGTACAGATAAAAAAGAGAGAAGGAACAGGACAGAGATAGTGGACAAAGTGTAGGGAAAAAAGAAAGGAAGGAAGGAAGGAAAGAAGGAGGGAGGAGCAGAGAAAAAAAACAGATAAAGCAGTGAGCAGCCAAATGTAAAAGGTTCATGGTGAGAAGACAGAGGGAGAGAGAAAGGACACAAAAAGAAACAATGACATTACATTCTCTGTGTTCACAAATATATCCATGAGTGGACATGCTTCATGAACATCTGTACAGTATGTGGCACAAACACACTCATACACACACGAAACAAAACGTTAAATGAGCGTCAGGCGATGCTCATTCAGCCTTTTTGTTTGTTGTTGTTTTTTTCTGTGCAGGACGAGAGACCATTTCAATACAACTACGCTGAAGACACAACGAAAAAAACAACAATGTTTCTGCATTTAAACACAAGATTCAACATCCATATGGTGACTCTAAAGAAACACACTGGTGCACAGGACGGAGCGTGTGTGAATGTGTGTGTGCGTTGGGATTCCAGATAACAGTCAACTGTTGGGAGGGTCGGGAGAGGTGAGTGATGGGAGAGTGCAACAACACAAATGTGGGCAGACAGGGGCTGTGGTTGGGTGACGGTCCAGTGATGAGAATATGAATCACTACTCATAACACCAGCATGGGCGTCATCCTACTGGGAGCATGTGAACGCACACACAGTGTGAGTGGTGGTGGTGGGGGACATCACAAGTGAGAATGCCGTGATGGAGGAGGGATAAGAACGAAGAGAAAAGTAGAGAAGAGATATTAGAAATAAAAAAGGAGAGGGATGAAGCGATAGCTCTTCCGTTTTTATAACCTGGTGGTTGTTTGAGGGACGTTTTTTGTTCGTGGGTCTCTGGTTTAGAGCAGATGTGGACAGATGGAGTGGAGGTTTAGAGGCGGAGTTATTACAGTGGTAATGAGGCCCACTCAGCCTCGCTGGGCGTGTGATACACCTGGGAGAGACCTGGGAGAGAGAGTTAACCCACGGACATGAGTCGAGGAGCTTCCACGTGGTTCTGGGTTTGACCTCTGAACTTCTAGCTCGAGTAAAAGTTGGTAAAGAGGAACATCGAGTAAAAGCTATTTGTGGATTTTACAGAGAAATGAAAGAATGATGGGAACTTCTGCACAGCACGATGAAAACCACCAGAAAAACTGGCTTGGACTGTTTTTGTTGAATTTCATTGTGCCTTCATGACAGCCTTCGTTGGACAATAACGTTGATATCTTCAATCCATGGAGGAAAAAAGAAGCCTGCAGGAGCTTCTTCCTCAGGTTTCTCTGCATGTTCTTCAAACATTTCTCTGCTTTTCCCCCACAAAGTCCGCTGAGGCTTTTATTTGCAATAAAAACTGAACAACATCCAAAACGATGTGGTTAGTGCACATGGTACGAGAACAAACATGTTTGTTGCGTGTACTCACTCTGCAGCGTTGAAGGCCACCTCAAAGTTTTGCCTGCGGTTGCTGGGGCTCAGCGAGTCGTAGTCAAAGGCTTCTGGGAAGAAATGGTGCACCAGGGCACAGAACGCCATGCCGTTGCTCCAGCTGGACGAAAAGTTTTGAATATCCACATGCTGAGGGAATAGACACGCAGAATAGACAAAGAGGCATTGATAGATCAGTGATGGAAACATTTCCAAAGTAGGAAAACATTATCTCAGCCTATCTTGTCTTTATCAAGTTCAGCTCGGGCGTCGTTGGCTGACATTAACAAAAAGCACAACACGCGGCAGGTTGGCTAACCTCATATGAGCGGGTCTTGGCACGGCACCAGTCGAGCAGCATCTGCTTGATTGAGTTTGCATTGGGTACACCAAAGCTGGTCGAACGCTGCACCTTGTTTACCTTGGCGACCGCCTGGTTTCCAGGGCTGAAAGAAAAGTCAGGTTTGTGTTAATATTTACATGCTTTGATCTGCTCTTTTCCTTTCTTTGGTATCGCTACCTCTCTGTTTATCCTTACCCGCCTCCCTCCTTCTCCAGCTTCTCTATCATGGCTTTGCGGGCCTGCATGGCAGAAGTCTTTGGCAGAGTCTGTGCCCTCATCAGCTCCTTGCGTCTCTCCGCCTGCCGTCGCTCCACGGCGGCCAACCCGCCACTTCCACTGCGAGTCGATGAGTCATCCTCGCGGTCGAAGACACTGAGAAGAAGTCATGAACAACAATTGAATTTGTGAAGGTGCTGGGATTTTAAATTTTGTGTTAAAGTATATCGCTGATGTTTCGAGACCCACCTGCCCACTTTTTTGCTTGTGTTCGAGGAGGAAGAGGAACTGGAAGATGTGAAGCTGAATGATTTTGACTGGACCGTCCCTCCTGAGATGTAGACAGATTGTGTCATGATAAATGAACACACGAAAAAATGAGATGATTATATGAAGCCAAATAAAGTAATGACTCACTGTCTGTTTTCTGCACATAACTGGCCTCGACGACAGTGCTGCGTGACGACCTGCTCCCATCATCTGACACACACACATGGTTGGCATCATTATTACATAATCATTGAATTTTCATTTTACATTCTGTCTGTTTTCTCTCCCACATTGTTCAACTGTGACTTGGGAGGATGAAGAAATGAAAACACAAAGTACCAGACTGGGCAAAGCGGTTCGTCTTTGTGACTTGACTCAGGGTGGAGCCATCTGCAGACTTCTCCACTTTCCTCATCACCACCTCTCCTGCTCCGACCCCGGCGCGACCTTTCTGTGAACGGTCCTCTCTCTGCTGCCGGAGCTCTTGTAGACGGGTCTCGCGCTCCTTCTCTCTTTGGTCTGGGGTGGAGGAGAAAAAAAGAGGTTAGAGGTGAGTAGGGATGGACATGTGGTTGGGAAAGTGGAGCGATGATGTCAGTGGAAAAAGAGGAGGAGGAGGAGGACACAAGGTCCTAAACAAACTGACAGCACCTCCTCTGACTGCCACAAAGATGGATTCAAACAGAGCTGCCAAATTTGAGGCGATACATTTCAGGATTCTTTCCACAGTACTGTAAAATGTGTCCACACACACACACACGCACACAAGCACACACACGGGAGACTCACTGCCGAGCTTTCAAGTGATGTGTGAGGCTCAGAAATCACAGATCAAAAAGAGCAAGCACATGTGCAGAATAACTGCACACAATGCAGCACCTGAGATGTACGTGGATTTTAACATAACGTAAATGGACTATATTTAAATAGAACATTTTTTGACTGTGATCAACCACTACAAGCTCTTTACAGGGCTACAGCCCGGAGTAGCCAGGGATCGAACCACCCTCTGGTTAGTGGATGACCCTCTCTACCTCCTGAGCAACAACAGCCCCTGAAAGTGCAGATTTGACCTTATAAACCATACTACACCAGACTATACTATACCGTATGATACCATACAATACTGTACTATACTACACCACACTATACTATTACCTTACTACACCAAGCTATACTACACTACACTATAAACAGCACAGCCTCAGATCTGGGAGTCGGGAGGTTTAACTGTCAGCTCAGTGCAGACACCTGGTGAAACCATGTGGTGAGTGCTCACTGCAAGACGTCAACACACTCAACGTGGTAGATGTTTCAGTCATTATGTTGAGGCACACTGAGAACAGGATTCATGCAAAATTAACAAAACACATCAAACATATCCATCATCATCCACTGCAAAGATACACTGAATAAAAATGGTAGTGGTCTGACAGTGACAAGATGGTGCTCATAAAAAGTCAAACGCAGGCAAGTATCAATTGTTTATGCACACTGCACACCAACCTGCCCTACCGATTTCCTCCTGTGTGCATCCCAGCATGGCCTCTGAGGGCAGAATGGATCGTTTACATTCGGAAAATAAAACAGATTTAAACTCATGTGGTTGGTGTCAGATATTTTGGTGTATTTCTGCTGTTACCTCTCTTTCTCTTGCGAAGGTCCCGCATGGCTGCACGGATCATCTTCCTCTCCTCAAAGTCTTTTGACTCATCGAGCTGTGGAAGGGGAAAAAAATGAGCATGTGAGCGCACGCACACACAAACGGAAACAATGTGCGGTCATTCCCCACAAAGAGGCAAAGTGGCATGGCTCCATTTATGTCAGCAATTCTAACATTGTGCATACACACACAAAACACTGAGCTGTGACTTCTACAAATATACTGTCACATAGCTGCTTAGATTTAGTGTCGATACACAAACATTCTGAACGACTGAGGCTGCTGTAGTCGTTACAAAGAGGCGCTTTTAAATCTAAATCATCCAGAATTGTAACTTGGGCGTGAAGTACCATTTTGTCAAGGAGCTCTTCATCCTCGATGGCAGCCAGCTGTTCGGCTGTCAGCTTTCCGGAGCGCTCGTCGGGCTTTGCCTGAGTGCTGGAGCCGTTGGGGATGGTTGGGAATTGACACGGAACCTGGACAGACGGTCCAGATGAAAACACCGGCTCAGAGGCCATAACAGGCTCCGTCTCGATCTGCACAAAACACAAACCCGCGCACACACACACACATTGTGAGCCACATCATAGATATGCAGACATGAAGGAGGACAAAGACTTTGGAGGAACTGTGTGTATGAATCTTAAAAAAATTGCTAAGACTACTCATTCACCACATCTCATTATTTCTTCCATCCCCTCTACCTTCCAGCCATGCCAGAGACATGGTGAGCAAATGAGAGCGAGAGAAACTCTGCCAAGTTACGGTGTACTTAGTTCATGGAGTGTGACTGACACAGTGTCTAAGTGATACCAAGCCACTGGGAATCACAACTTTATGTGACAGGTTTGGTACACCACTGCAGCTGCAAGACGAGAACAATGCATTAGCAGATATAAACTCTGAGGGGAAAACATTCTAAGCCATCCTCTCTGGTATGTGTACCACAGAGGGACTGGTGAGCATGCGAGCAGGAGTAAAGACGATGTAGAGAACCATGAGAACATAACGTGCTGTAAAACGGTTTACCCTGCTTATTTGGAGTGACCATAAATCCTAGAGAAAACACCACTCCAGATATAGCTCAGACAGCTGGCCCCCTCCCTATCCACACCATCTACCCTGTCGACCCTCCTCTGTGGGCCTCCAGGCCAGGTCTCACCGGGAGGGATGCTGCCCGGCACAGCCACAGAGCTGGGATCACAGGTGGACCCTGGTTTAAGGGCTTTTCTGGACATAGACATCTGACCCATGGGACAGACTGGACTGAGAGACACTTGACCGACCAGGAATGTTTTGGGACACAACACAGCCAAACAAGGGATCTAAGTCGGCAGCCAACCAGGGAATGTGTGTGGGGTGAGAAAATCCCTGTTAACCATAGTGCTCTAGTTGTATTTAATTCAGTTTCAGAATATCACTGTGACAAAATAAAGCTCTTGTGTCAGTCTGCCTTTGTTAGTTAGCAGAGATATGCAAAAACTATTGGACAGATTTCCATGAAACCTGGTGGAAGGATGCATTATAGATAATTATGGTGCAGATTCAGATCAGGGAGTGGATGCAAGATTTTATTTTCACTTTGTTTTAACATTTTAGTTTCTATTTATCACCGAATAATTCATGGATCTTGATGAAAGAAATCCTGTTTGGGAAACTGACAATTACAAGTGTGTACAATTTGGTGCAGATCCAAATAAAAATCGGAATCTTGTAAATTTTAAATGTGGTTTCCTAAGGGGACTGTTCCTCTTCTCTTTTTTGTTTGTTTGTTAGCAAGATTACACAAAAACTGCTGAACCCATTTCTATCAGGATCCAAGGAAGAACCCATGAACTTTTGGAACGGATCGAATTTGGTGCAGCTTGATCGCATTTATTGGGACTGGTAGGCCTTGGCAGTGGTTTGCACTGTGAGTGTCATTCAATTTATTGGTTTCTTGTAATGAGAGCAAGGCAACAACACTTACGATTCACTGCTTAGACCTATACAATGAATAGATGTCAGAAGAGAAAGAGCTAATGCTGCCAAAAGACAAAGGTTAAAAGTGATTAAATAAGGTCACCCCTCATTATCACAGTCACTGAAGAGAGGTCAGTGACTTTTACCAGAGCAGCTGATTGGCAGACGCAGCTGTCGTTGAAGGATTAGACAGGAATATAAACTCTAACCAGTTGAATAACTGAAGATAATGCCACAAATACTCAATATCCCTCAGAATGTCACCACAGCACACACAAACACACACATGGAAAAGCAAACAATCCTACAGATGAGAGCATGTGCATTGATTTATAGAACAGGAACGAAAGACCCTAAATCCCTTTTCTTGTTCTCAGGCCAGACAAACTTTTTCATTTTTGGCTACGTTTGACCCCACATGCTAAGTTCACATTCCTGCCAAAGCTAATATCAGGGATGGTAAAATATAGGCCAGGGCCACAGTTACTGTTAACCTGTGGTCATTTTTTTCCTCCACCGGGAAGTGTAGCCACCCAACGTAACACTTGTAGCAGACCTACAGATATAAGTGCTCACCAGGACACAATCAGAAACACTGCTGCTGCAGGATTGAGCTTTTTGAATAATGAAACAAGGACATAATGCAAGATTGAAACCAATGGACAAGTATGAAAGAACACCAGATGAAGAGGTGAGTGAGTAGAACATCTCGTCACTGACATGGCATAGTCAGCTGATTTGAAGGTAATATCAACACTAGAACAAAATACATTCCCATTGTTTTATCTGAAGTAAAAGAGGTCATGAACAGAACCATGAGCAGAGAACAGTACCTTACTGTCGTAACAAGAAATGTTTGCCATCAGAGAGGGAGCAGAGAGGGAACGGCAGCTTGCAAAGGTGGGTGGGTGAGAAATTGGTGAAGGCTCTGACTTCTGAGGTATGCTAATCTCTGCAGAGTCTTGGGGGCATGATATAAGATTTTCCTGGGGTATGCTTGATTGAGTATCCAGGACAGGGCTAGTTGGAGAGTCCTTGGGTGCACTGGATGGAGAATCATTGGGATTGGAAGATGAAGTATCAAGTAGTGCTTCAAAAGAGGTATCCTGCAGAGTGCAAGCTGGAGGATCACTGGAAGAAGTTTTTGTTTCACAAACAATAGAAGGCATGCTTTCTTTGCTTGACAGTTCATGGAGCGAGGGGTCAGGTAACCCCATCACCCGGCACAGGGCTTCCACTTGAGTCACCAGATTTTCTTGCTGAACCCTCAGCCTCAGGTTCTCCTCCTGCAGCCTGACAATGGCCTCAGCCAGAGGAGTCACCTGAGCTGCTGCCACCTCCAGACGGGAATTCACTCGTTTCCCAAAAGCCTGCAGGTCAGTGTGGATCTCTCCGACTGCACACCGCAGCGTTAGTTCAAAGTTCCTTTCGCAAAACTGCTCCCCTTCTTTCTCAGCCTCCTCCTGAGCGAGAAGATCTCCGATCACCTCCTCCAGGCCAGACTCGGCACAAACACTGTCTGGGCTGCCCAACGCCTCTGGAGCCTGTGAGGCTGGGAGGAAGTCCAGGTTCACTCCGGGCATGGCTCGACCAGCTACACTTTTTTTTACACGTCTCAAAAACTATAGTTGGGTTGTTAGACTAGAGAGGGTTTGTGGCCTTCGCTTCACAGGAGAGGGTAGAGGGTGCCTCTCTGTCTGTCTGTCACAGACCTTTCAAAACAATGCATGGTCTTTATACTCCCAGCAAATCTCCCCTCTCTACCAGCAAACACCCTGACCGCCAATGAGCATGCAAGAAATCCTGTTTCCCAGGCAGCAGTGGCTCCACCCCCTTATTTCCAGGTGCTGTGGACATGTCTATTTATCTCTTGCCCTGCTATTATTCCACTGAGACAGTCAGTCCTGGGACACTGGTGGAGGCCAGAGGGGGAACGGGTGGTGGCAACAATTTAAAAAACTCAGCCCTCCCTCTCTCAACTTTCCTTTTATTTACAGCCCTTGTCCTTCACACCTCCACTGGCAGGATACAGTGGGTTTAGATGTGGCTCTGGAGCAGGGCAGAGTTGAAAGACTTGCACATCAGTGTTTCACTCCTCTTAATATTGTCTCTTTTAAGTTCAGATGTACTGCATGGCTGTGATGTCAAGGACATCCAGAGGGAAGATCAGTCCATGAAGGGCACACGGTTTTGGGCAGTCTCTGTGACCAGAGAGGACGAGCAGGCTATAGGACTTCCCAGCTGTGGGTGAGGATGTTAGGAGGCACATTGTAGTCCATCCAAGATTTTGTTTAAGGCTTACTGACAAAGCAGCAGGTGTTTAAAGTGCTGTTGTGTTAAATTAAGAGCTTGTCACGAGTGTTGACAGTCTGTGTGTGTGTGTGTTTCATATTGCAAAATGCCTACTTAAGATTTACTGGCATATTGTAAATACTGCACATTCTTTATCTGGATACATTCTAATTAGAAGCAAGAGGCTTCATATGACACACTCTTCTTCTTCTGCAGTTGGTAAGTGTGTCCCTTATTCCCCTCTGGATCAATCAATAATGTAGAACTATCAATGAATCCATCTATTTAAAACTGGATTTCAATCAAAACAGACACATTCAAAGTAAATATCTTCACTTTAAAGTGAACGAATGAATGCAGAGACTATAACCCGTCTTTGTATGACTCTAAACACAGAGAGCATGAATCAGGACAGGCATTCACTGGAGCACAATGTGACAAAGGGCAACAGGTGAATCGGTTTCTTGGGGAAGAATCTGGCCTCAATGTAGAGTGGAGAGAAACATGAGTGGCAGCAGGGAAAGTGGGTCAAACCCCAAGAAGGACATGACTCTAGTCTTATCATGCATCACAGCTCTAAAGCTTCTTCTTCAGTAAAGCAAAGAGATGTAGAAGGAAGGAGCACAACAAAAAAGAAGACTAATGTACGTACACACACTATTTTCTGTTTGTGTATAGTTCTACTTATATCGGCTTGAGACTATTGTTGTGTGGGGTTGTGATTTATAAGAGATTCCAAAATAAGAGATAGTTCAGTATAAAAGGAAACAATCAGGGAACATCTAAATCTCAGTTTGCTTTAATACATCAGGAATAAGAAATGATGATTTTGACATCAGAGTCCCAAACTTAAATCTGCGACACATGTGAACTGGTTGGGTAACCAGCGTGTGTCATGAATCAGCCGCATGTTTACAATAGGGTCCTTGTTCCTCCGTGTAACATTAAGACGGCCTGTCACTGACTGTGGGCCTGTGCGACCACGCTCATGCAGCAGTGGTGTGACCCGTGGCTTGGCCTCTGCGACCACAGGGAAGAGATTAACTGTCGTGTCATCACTCTGGTTATGAAACTAAAACATAATTTGTATTTGTGTTCAAGGCTGAGCTCAGTGGAACCAACAGCTGAGATGAGCGGGAGCAGCTGATGATCAGTCGGAACAAGAAGCATCAATAATCAGCTGCTGTTCTCACCTGAAACACGACATCATCTAACCTTGATCTTCATCATGCTTTTAGAATAAATCACAAGGGGAATCTTCATCGTTTGAGTCTTTCCACTGTTAATTCCAACAATGTTTATTTCTGTTGATTCTCAGATTGCAATTTATAGGCAAGTCTGTGCAAGAGCTGATACTATCAGCATCAACATGTTTTATTAGAATTTAAAAAAGGAAAAAGTTAGACCACCAACCTGGACCACCCAACCAGATCAGAGTCACAGACAGGAACCACTGTGGCCAATAAACAACCATCAACAATGTTAAATAGCAATAGCTAGAGTTACATTAACGCCACATGTTGCACACTCGCCATGCTATAATGAACACGTAGTGTAGACTAATATGAGGGTTTTTACATAAGCTACTTTAATATGAATCCTCCCTTGACGTGTCACTTCCTCTCACACAACCTTGAACTTAAGCAAAACAAGAGAAAGTCGGGGTCAAGTGGATCTCAGGATCGGTCTGAAAGTAACCGAAGTGCCTCGTCGTGGCTGATACTCACATCAGTGTCTGTTTTTACATTCTAATTAACCAAATCACTCAGGCTCTGTCTGACAAACCTCGCAACAAGTAACAGAAAGTGATGAAAAGAGAGAATAATTTTGAAGTCTTGTGGTTTATCAATGAAGAAACTATTTAAAATTGTGATGCAGGTCTTTTCTTAGCATGATTTAAAATGCATAATATCATAACACATGTTATCACTCACACAGAGACATTACCTGCATGTCGTTACGGTGATGCTGTTACAGTCAATTAAATATAAACTTCATCTCCTCCACGATCTTTGTCTTTTTTTTGTGCAAAATCACTTTCTTCTCTGCTGCAGTATCTTAGTTGATAATTGACCCTGTGTTTCTACATCTCAACAAGGATCCTAACTGATAGAAAGGGCTTCATTCCAACACCTTAAATCCTCCCTGCAGCAACTTGGTGCCTCCTCCCAGCCCTTATTAACCAGATCCCTGATCGCATTACCACGTTGCTGCTGTGCTCGGCATGGGGGTGGTGGAATACGCAGCCGGTAAAGAGTAAACAACGCTCTTCACCCTCCAAATCCCCTGCTCTCCATTCATGAGGACGCTTCCTTTCTTGGAGGAGCAAGTAAGCTAAGGAGTGAGGCAAATGGGAGTGTAGACGTTCTTCTTAACCCTCAGAGGTCACTGTGAGATGCCTCTTTCTACCATTAGCAAAGACAACCCTCACCAAATCAGAATGCACTTGGCGAAGTGACGAATTATGAAGTACTTGAGCAATCATGCATTTTAATGCAGCTGGACAGTAGTTGGTGTAGATAAGGAGAGACAGGTGTGATTTAGGAAACATTTCTCTGATAGGTCTCAGTGGGCATGGTCTGCTGAGAGAAAAAGAGGACTGCCCCCTCCCTCTCTCTCTCTCCTTCACAGACCCTACAAGGACAGATGTGACTGGCTACCCACTCTGTGTTTGATAAACACTGTGCTTCCCTCCTCTCACTCCGTTTCTCACACTCTGTCTGCCTTTCATTGTCCCGACTTGCATGCTTTTCGGGCCTTTATAGGTGATTGCTCAGATGGAGACGCAGCAAAAAAACATGGACGGAATTCAACTGAATGAGTTGGAAATGAAACAGTACATGAAAACATTTACAGCATTTATCTCTAATTAGAAGGGACTGGAAACAGCTTTTGTTTAAAGTATGTTTGACAGATTCTGTCAAGTTTGGGATCTTTGCCCAAAACATCTTTCCTGAGGCAGACTGTACCTTGATAGAGGATCCAGAGGAGAGGCTGGATGAGGAGATCTTGAATGGAGTTGCTCTGAGGCCAAGGGTCAACTCTGAAACAGACACAGAAAAGTTATAAGATTTACTTGGATTTGAAATATTACACATTTGGTCCAAAATTCTGGTATTGATTTAATCCACAGTAACGGGATGATTTAGAACCAACTCCAAGAAAGGTCCTAGGGGCCCATATGCATGTGTACGGTTGCTATGTGCGCCTGGCTTTGAACTGGATTGATGGTAGCATAACTCAATTACATAAGCTGCCATAGTGTCATAAACAACAGGTTCTCATGTCTAATGAGAGACAAGTGAGAAATATATCACTTCTCACTTTCTTTGCCTCCAAGAAAATGCACGCACGCACGCACGCACACACGCACACGCACACACAAGCTATATCATAAAATCCAGGAGTTGTGCACAGTGTAATTTGGTAGGTGCAGGCAGGTTCCCAAAAAGGAGCCCAAAACCATTAAAGCAAATTGAGCTGAAAAGAAAGTGAGTGATTCTCGCAGAGGAGCCCAGTGGAGCTGCCAGAATCTGGCCTGGAAGGGGAAGGGAGGCCGGGGTGGTTGTAAGAGGTGAGGAGGCTACAATCGCACAGGTTCAGCTCGAGTCTTAAATAAACTGTTTGGGTTGGAGGTCCCGGTTGCTGGGAAGAGCTGAAACCTAAGACGTCTTGTTTGGACAGACCGTAACAGCAGCTGAAGCAGCTTTGCTTCTGAAATGGACTGAGATTCACGTGTTCCATGCAATTAATGAGTCCCTGCGGGTACTGTTTGCACTATGAGTACTATATGTACAGTGTAGGTACAGTACGTTACAAGAACATTATGTAATTGTGAGACTGGCCGACTGCTCAATATGTGGATGAAGATTTTAGAATATTGAAACCAATGACCCACATGTCATCAAACACGTATATAAGCACTAAATGTGAGTTTTTTTTTAATCTAATTGATTGTGACATGACAAGTGGATTCACCAGGGCTTTGTGATATGGACAAAACATTTTGTGTCTGTAATTATCACGATAAATGTCATATTATCATGTTTCATGTATCAAGTTTTGAGACTGATTTTTGCTCTGGAGTGAAGGTTGTGGTTTTCAACATTTTACGATGAGGTAGATCAATACATATTTTGTCATACTGTCATCTATTATAACTGCTTCTTAGAAAAAGGGGACAATTGTTGTAATGTTTTACCATTCATTATCATCCACATGCCCTGGTGGTCTTGGGTTAAGGTGTTGACCACGAACCACAACATCCCTGATTCAAGTTCCAAGTCAACAGGGTCAACATTACAGTGTTGGATGAGAGAAACAGGTGCTGCAAGAGGACATTTGTCCTCATTTCCCCTATTTGTTTGTCCTTTCTCTACTATTGACTCACTACTTCAAGCAAAAATAAACCAAAATCAATGAGATATTCCATTTATGGACGTGACTGATGAAACAGTGTATTTAATCAGAGGACCACTGGGTCATCCATGACAGCGGTTTCTATTTCCTAATTTTTCCCAAAATGTTTGTCTTCTTTTATGAGCATCTAAGAAAAAAATATGAAACTGCTGCTTGTTCGTATTAAAGAAGCAGCAAGTTTTACACATCATCTACTGTGTTGGTTTTGTATCACTGTAACACTGATACTATTCAGCTTTGTCTGAGACTCTTCTTTTGTCCTGATACACTCTGCTGTTGACTACTGACTTCGCCCCCTCCACACTGCAACAACTTGCCCACGATATAACAAATAACCTTCAGTGTACAACCATGCTGCTTCATACAGCTATCCCCACTCATCCTGCTTTGCTTCGGATCACTGAAACCATTGTCATCATCCCACTTCTGACCGATTCATATGTCTCTGCCGTCTCCCACAGCGACTGGGATTCGATCATGATCCGAGTGTTGATAATAGCAAGGAAAGACATACAGTGGCTAAACAAGGATTCATAGCTCCAGGAACACAGTCGGCTGCAGCTTCACATACTCTACCTGCTCCATAAAAAGCTTCAAAAGTCAATGAAATAAAATTTGAATGAAAAACTTTATTACATTCAATTATGATTCAAACTCAAAAAGCTATTTCAGCACTGAGTGAGCTACAATACAAGCAATTCCTTCTGCATTAAGGTTGATGCTCCTACCTGGTCTCTGCCCCAATGCATTAGGGGCCATGCGTGGGGTCATGTTGGTGATGGGGACGATGCTGCCCCTGGAGGAGGCTGTAGAGGAGGTGGTGGTGCGCCCATCCTTGATCTCAATGGTGAGGAAAGTCTTCATGTCCGGGTCTGCCTCTCCCTGGGTGACCTGCTGTCCAGCTGCTCTCCCTTGGGTGCTGTTGTCCTCCTTTGAGTTACTGTAGGCGTGCACATCTTTTTCAGCTGGATGCCTCGTCCCACCCACGGAATCCTGCGATTGGCCAGCTGCAGACAGAGGTTTGCTGGCCCCTCCTCTTGGCTGAGGTGCAGCCTGACTTTGAGATGCGGCAGATGTGTGAGAGGTGGAGTCTCCAGATGTGCCGAGGGATGCTGCTGTTTGTGTGAAGCGCTCAGCGGCTCTTGAGAAGTTTGTCTGGCCGCTGCTGCCGGTGGTCGCACCGTTTCTCAGAGGAGCTCTCTTCAATGGTGGGACGTTTGGGCTCTGGCCGGACTCTGTGAACTTGCGCATTCGATCACGTACAGAGTTGGTCTTGTTGAATTGTCCCAATACAGCTTCTTTCTTCTCAGGTACTGCAAAGACATTATGGAGATAAGAAGTTTAAAATACAGAAAAACACTCAAACAAGATTAAAATACATCAGAGACACAGAAAGGCTAGACCCACTCCACCATCTCCTCCACCTCAAAAGCCCCTAATAAAATCCCTTTCCTCTTTTCATCCTCTTGCTAGGTTTTGTTCCAGACCCTTTATTTTGGTTGACTAACCCCCTCCCCCCATTTCACCGTCTTACAGTTGCTAGTTTTTGGACTTTTCAGGACATGTTTTTTCCACTCATGGACATTTCTTTCATTCTCTGATCCTTAATACTGTCAGATACCATGAACAAAGCTCAGGATTTGGCACGGAATGTCCAATGGAAAAAAAGACAAATAAAAAATGTGATTAGAGGAGAAGATATTCACTGAGGTCATCCTCACAAAGATGAAAACCACAGTTTATAGTAGAGATCCACTCTAGCACAGAGCGTGGTCTCGTAGAAAGAGAGAAAACGGTGTATGTTACAAAATGCTCTTTCCGCTCTTTCAGACCTGTCTCCTGTAAGTGGCCCTACATGGTCACACTGATGACTGGGACTGTCTCTATATACTGGGTTACTACAGACTGTGAATCAACTGGTCTGACACTTGAAAATGGCAAACAATTTTCTGGAAAAATAAAAAACTGAGATTGAGATTCAGCAAATCCTTATACTTTAAAAGTTGGAGTTTTACTCTATAAATGTCTTTAAGGATTATCTGAATCATGTTGATTAAATCAGATCAGGATGAATAGAGTTGGACTAGTTTCTTACCAGAATCCTTTGCTTTGTCATGAGTAAGAGGAAGAGGATCTCTGTTAGCTGTTATCTATAAAAGGAAAAAACAAAGAAACATGGCAACACAGTGATTAGAGGAAGAAGAGAAGATTAAGGGTCAACATGCACTGAGCCTGGATTGATGAGCACAGAGCTGCTCCATGTTTGACAGGGCAGTAATGGACATTCATAAGTGATAAGAGACTACATGGATGGCCATTGTGACACACACACACACACACACACACACA